CCCTCCAATAAAATTTGGCGAAATCATTAGTAGGCTATATAAACTGAATTAGTAGCAGACAGGTCTGAACTGTGTTCTGCTCACAGACCTTTCCTGTGGAGCGAACACCTTTCCAAATGCAGAAGTAACAGGCCACCCAGCAGGCCAGGAGACACAACAGCAGCTCCCATTTCACTGTGCCAACCTCGTCTATTCCCCCGGACATGGACAACACTCCTCTCCTGTGTGGGGACACCAGACAGTGAGTGGTGGTTTGACATGTAAAGAATTACTATCCTTAACAAGGACAGGATTAATTTATACCTTACAGTAATTTACAATGAGCTTTGTGTGGTAACACTAACTCACTCCCAGAACTCAGAGACTGAAGACTTGGTGAGAGTTCCAGAGGTCGTGTTTCCTGTCAGGTTGCCATTGTGTAGTGCAGTCCAGTTTGCAGATGTGAGGTCCACACATCTGTCTGTTGACAGGAAAATAAGTGTTGTTTAAACTTTAATCTTTAGATAACACAGAGATTAAAATGATTGTCAGAATATGATAGTTATCTGGTTATTATTTTAAGTTAAAAAAAAAACCTGTCAAGGGTGAACAAGGTGTTGTAATGCAATGATGCAAGATAATGATATCACAACCAACACATCGACACCCTGCTCATGGATATGAGGGGCCGCCTGGGACATAATTCATACTTGGTCTTACACACACTATCATAACCTTGCATATACACCACTATACTCATACACACACACCATTATACTCATTTTACATGTATGTATGAGAGTGTATAGTTGTGTATGTGAGAGAGTATAGTAGTGTGTGTGGGAGAGTATAATAGTGTGTGTGTGTGAGAGAGAGTATAATAGTGTATGTGTGAGAGTATAATAGTGTATGTGTGAGAGTATAGTAGTGTATGTGTGAGAGTATAATAGTGTATGTGTGAGAGTATAGTAGTGTATGTGAGAGAGTATAGTAGTGTCTGCGAGAGAGTATAATAGTGTGTGTGTGAGAGAGTATAGTAGTATATGTGAGAGAGTATAATAGTATATGTGAGAGAGTATAATAGTGTGTGTGAGAGATTATAGTAGTGTATGCGAGAGAGTATAATAGTGTGTGAGAGAGTATAGAAATGTATGTGAGAGAGTATAATAGTGTATGTGATAGAGTATAGTAGTGTATGTGAGAGAGTATA